TGGTTAAATGCATGCTATGCTGATGCTGCACAAAACAACGCGAACATAATATTTAAAATCTCTTTTAACCGACCGTAGTTTTTACAAAACAACGGTTCAATTAAGTAAAACGCGATTTAAAATTATAGCTATGAGTAAATCGTCATAGATAAATAAATTCAATGTGCTTGGGCATTGTAAAAAAACTATCCAGCAATTGCTCTCTCTCGTCAAGTCTTCATCACATTTGATTTGTTATTCAAATCCTTCCATGAACAACATCGAAGTATGTTCATTTTAAAGCATCTTTAAAGAGTTTTAAATATCTATAAAATGATTAAAGAAATCTCTTTGCAATTGAGCGATCACTGTCGATAATGTCGCTACATATATATATATACATACATACATACGTACGTACGTACATACATACATGCATGCATGCATGTTTAACAACGTTTATTGAGACGACGAAACGAAATGATCCTCATTTGCAACAGTCCAGAAGAAGAAAATTCGAGAGATAATAAAGATTATCGCTTGAAGAAGCTACTTGTCATTACCAACAATCTACGCAATTAGCCTATACGTTTAAAATCGTGTGCTTTATAAATGTATTCTTATATAATTTTTATTAGTTTTTCTTTGTCTCAAAATATAATACATCCACTTAATGCATAGATGGATTTGTGCTTCAAATGCGAGCATCGATGGAGAATTTGGAAACAGAGATTCGATATTTATTTATTTATTTATTTATTTTGTTTTTTTCTTTTCTATTTGTATATCATACACAGAAACAATAAGTTTTCTGTATTCGTATTTCCTTCTTTTTTCTCTCTTTTTTTTTTTTGATTTTGTTTTTTGTTTTTTGTTTTTTTATTTTTGTTTTTAATGCAAAGTAATTTAAACATGTTAATCAACCTCGTTCTATTGTGTTTTTAATGCTTCGATAAAAAAATTTCCATATCTTCGGTAAAAATGAAGATTACAGTTGAAGTATTAAAAAATGTTACGCTAATTTCGAGAAAAATGTATGTACAATGTAAGGACAATTTATATTTCCATAGCAGTAGATTCAACAATAAAGTACGAAGGAGCATAAAAATTGTTCATATAATTTTGCCATTCGCGTGACGGGACGTTAGATTTATATAGTCAGAAGTTTCTCGACACATCATAAATTCGCTTCGTTCATAATCGATGAACAATGTATACATAGAAAGAGAGAGAGAGAGAGAGAGAGAGAGAGAGAGAGAAGAAACCGAGAAGAGCAAATAAACACGCGTATTTAGAATATAATATTATAAATAAATGAATAAATATATGTGTATGTTGCATGTATATGTATATATATATATATATATATATATATATTTATTTATTTATTTATTTATTTACTTATTTATTAATTCGCTATACATTTGATAATTCTTACATTCTTAATTCTTCTATTACTTTTCTTATTCATTTCATTCTTACCTCCGTCATCTCAATAGCGATATACATAAAAATTAAGGTTCATTATTTGTTTTTGTCATCATAAAAATATACATTGTTGATGCCCTCTTCGAGAAGAAACAAATCCTGGCTCATTATCCGCAGCGATTATCATACATTATTATAGGCTTAGCTCAAAAAGCAAAATGACAGCTTGACAAAGACGATAAATTCGCTAATTTGCTCAGCTAACCAACTTGCTTTACTTCGATTTAAGGTCGTCCGTGTATAAAGGAGGTGTACGTACGTATGTATATATAAATAAATAAAACATCCCGAGCGAAAAGTCGTCGCTTTATAGATATTCGTTAAATGTTTGACAAGTGATTTCCTTCCAATATATATTATTGAAATAAATTATAGCAGATAATAAAAGGCAGTCATACGTAAATCTTCAAGAATTAATATTATGAACTTTGTATTAATAAGTTATGACGTAACGAGATTTATAATAAGCTATTGTATTTATCAACTTTACAGTATAAGGATCAAAATTTACTATTAAAACTTTAATAATTTCTAGTTCGAGCCTATTTTGTTTGGGAAAATAAAAGTAAAAAAAAAAGCAAATTAAAAAACAAATATGAATTAAAATAAAAATGCAACTGAGGCAATACAGTGTTAATTTTAATGTACAAAACATTTTTAAAATGTCGATAATTTGAAATAATAATATGACATTCTTCCTATTTATACTTAGTACTACCGCTATCCTCATGAATGTTCTACCCGACAAAAAGTATTATTGCATTTAAAAAAAAAACATATATATATATATATATATATATATATATATATATATATATATATATATATAATATTCAGCTTTAAATTTATTCTCACAAATAAATGTCTCGATAAAATAACCTAATACTTAAGTAACAGTATAAATTGCAATTATAATAATTCATATATTTATTCATCCAAAACTTTGCTATTTTCAGCATAATTATTCATAAATAGATTTTTTTTTAATTTGATATTTATCATAATTCGACCTATAATCCTTACACAAGCTAAGTTGAAACGCCATCAAAGAAAAGAATTCATATAAATTGTATGGCTTCATTCGCCCTTACTAGGCTATTATTGTTGTTTATAAGTAATCGTACAATTGTTATTAAACCCGTGCCGTCGAGCAAATCGGTCACAGGAACCAACAGAATCAACGAAGGATCGACACGAACACCCATTAACCCCAGCGAATCCAGTTTGCGCTCCCAAATTAATAAATTTTAATATTTAATAAATTTATCTTGATATATGCGTGCGTGCTTACGCGTGTGTGTTTATGTGCGCGCGCGCTCGTGTCAATGTGTGTATGCGCGGGTATATGCGAGTGTATGTTTATGCATATCCATACTCGCTTGCGAGTGTGGACGTAAGAATGTCTGTCTGAGCGCACGTATGATTATATACGTATTATTTAGTGTGTATTCATGCGCTCACGTTTACGTATGCATATACATATACATATGTTGGTTTATTCTCTGACTGATGTAAAGCGACTTAACATGGTTTACAAGCCTATTTAATGATATGAAAAAGAACAAATAAAAGGAATTTCTCATTGGCCATTTCCTGCTCAAAATATATACACATACGTACAAGCATGTATATGCACATAATATATTTGATATAAATATATATATATATATATATATGTATATAATCATTTTTTTGTTCTAGCGTACGCTACAACACGTACCTTATTTCATGCGTCACACTTTTGATTATGTATGCGTATGTATATGTGTTAGCACGGGTGTGACCGTATATGCCCCGTGTATGCGGCGCGTGATCAAAGATGCATGCGTATATACAAACGCACGCACGCATACACGCGCGCACACACACACACACACACCCACACAAAAACAACATATAAATCTTATAAAATTCTATTTGTATTGCGCACTCGACGGTGCAGCCAAATAAACGTTCTCCCCAGACCGTTGCCAGACCGATAATTATCATAACTGCTAGAATTTACAAAATGAATAGTCGTACGTACGAGAAGTTGTTACATTGATGCCGTTAAAGTATGTTCTTTGTTCAATTTTCACGAACATTAGGGTTGACTCGCATGAATGTATGATTGAGCTTCGATTTATTGCAATGAAAAATAAAGTTGAGTTTTGTACGCGAATTAACAAAAGAATTTTCTCTTTTGAGCGCTTCTAGAGTTCATCTAAATATTCTATTTAAGATTATATATAATTTGTCTCTTTGATTTTCTAGATTCAAATAGTTATGTCTTAAATAAAATTTAATTCGTACTGTACAAATACACTTAAATTAGTGAAAGTAAACATTAGCTGAACTAATAAAGTTACTTTACAGATTTTTCTCGTGACTAAAAATGCATATTATCAAAGATGTCAAATTCTCGTAAGACAGAAACAACAACAAAAATGAATTTAATGAACAATAATAGCTGTAGATATTTCGGATTTTTTTTCATTCTTGTAAGCAGGGATTAATAGCATAATCGACGAAAATTAATTTTTCATACTTTAAGACGGGATAAAGTTTAATAGACATGGTCTAGGATCAGTATTGTTTTCAGCTTTTTTTTTTTTTTTTTAATTCGGTTAGAATCCTTGATCAGTTAAAAAAATAATTAGCAATTTTTTATGCAATAAACCATTATGAAAAAAAGATCTTAATTTATTTAATTTGATTGCAGATTAAATACAATAATATAAAAAATACAATGTATAAAATTATTAAGTTGCGACAGTATGCACAAAACCAATTAGTTTTGTTAAGTTTTTTTTTTTTGTTTTTAATTACAGTATTATACCAGCAATATGATGTAGATATTATATACTAACGTAATTTGCTGCAATGTAAGTTACAAATATTAATTTGTTATTATTAGTCTACTGGTTTTTTTTTTCTTTTTGTTTTTGTTTGTTTATAAAACTATCCTTTCATTCTATTCGCGTATTTAATCTGTCGATGATATATCAGTAATTTTTAGTCAATACTATACAAGACACGACATTTTTATTGCCGTCTTATTATTTTCAAAAGTTTTCTCTCGAACAACAATTTATAATATTAGAGAAGAGAAAACGACATATGGGTTTTGCTTCTGTATAATTTTTATTCATAATGATTCTTTGACATTAAAATATTTGAATACATCTAAGTAAATGAATGGTCATTTGCATCAAAATGTTACACTAGCTTTATTTAAAGTAAAAAAAGTTATCCTCTATCTAAGAAATTTTTTACGATAATTATATGTATTATAATTCTTTATACTTACAGCTGTTTATATCTATATATATATATATATATATATATATATATATATATACATACATAAATATATGTATAGATAAATATGTATATGTATATGTATATATGTGTGTATGCGTATGTATATATGTATCTGTCTGTCTGTCTGTCTGTCTGTCTGTCTGTGTGGGTGTACGTGCGCGCGCGCGTGTCTGTGTATTTATCTATGTATATATGTATGTATATATGCATATGTATAGATTTACGTACTTCACTAGTTATGAAAAGGGTATTATTATGTTATATATACACCACTACATATTTAATTTATACAGAAACAAAATCCGTATACGATATTATGCTAAGAAAAATTCTCCATTAAGAAGTTATAGCAAAGAGCCATCTATCCCTGCTTACTTACTATACATTCCTGGTAGAAAATTATTCACTTCTTTCGAGTTACCGAGCTTATTACTGTGTATACAGGCTAATTAACAGATTCACCAGCTATGCGCAACATAGGTACTTTATACTTACATAAAAACTGTAAGTATACAAGCCTCAACATCAATACGCGAAGCACCCTTTTTTTTAATTATTTTATTAAAAAAACAATCGTAATTCAAAATTGCAATTCTAATTTTAAAACATTACTAACGATAACGTTCAGCCGTTTTACAAACTGAAATCTGTTGTCACCCTAACACTCAAAATAAATCAGTGAATTTTCTGCCAAGAGCCATAAAAATCGTTCTGCCATGCTCAACTAGTCAGCAGCTACCTCCAGCGAGATAATAAATCCTATATTATACATGATACTCGGTACAAGGTTTTAACGATGATGACAGAGCCGGAATCGAGAAGGCGCATAAGAGGTCAATAAATCATGGACTATACGATCAGTTCATAGCCGTTGTACAGTCATTGTAGAAGACTGGTCGAAGGGAACTGACAGTATTTTCGTCGCTGCCGTCGTCGCTAATGTTGCTGTTGCTGTTGCTGCTGCTGCTGCTGCTGCTGCTGTTGCTGCTGCTGCTGCTGCTGTTGCTGTTGCTGTTGCTGTTGCTGCTGTTGATGATGGAGCAACGTCATAGCGCCTGTCTCAGCTGCTGTTGGTAAAACTACCGTCGACTGCTCGCTTACCGAGATCTGGTGAATTTGTGCCTGGGATCCCTGGCCGACCTGCATTATCAAAACAAAAATTCAGATATAAAAGTGCATATTGGCATATATGTCGATCGATCTCTCTCACTCCTTCTTCAAATATCATTTGATCACGAACCTTGCATACACCGAGCGCTACCATCGATCGTTCAAATTGATTTTTTAATTACATTTTACAAATGCTTTAGATGTCGATAACAATCGAATTTTTTTACCAAAAGTTCTATTTGGATAGATAATAATAAAGATTGTTGTGTAAAGATATATTAATTTATAAAGTTCGATAAAATAGCGAGCGATAGAGAAGATTGCAAATAAAAACTATTGATAAATTTTTAATAAATCGAATTAGATATACGAAGAGAGAACGGCGATAGATTTAATGATAATAAGAAAAAACTCTGCGTCTTGTATGCGATGAATAGTCAAACGCATTGCATTATTATATATGGCGTATAAGAAATAAGAAATAAGAACATTTGGAGTTTCATTAAAATGTGTACGAACGCTAAAGTCTTTAAACGATCCAAAATCATGATAGATCTGCTAGAAATCAGCAATATTACGAAGTTTGTAAGTTAAAAGAAGAAGAAGAAAAAAATACTCAACAGCTACAGCAACAATTAAACTATGTAATAAAAATCAAAGTTAGATTCTACCAAGATCGACATAACTTCCACTTAAGGCAATTCGCAATCTCGTCGATAATACTTCAAAAAAGTACTAAATTACTTAATCAAATCATTCTTAGGATGGCCAGTTTGGATCTCAAATAATAAAGAAACTATGCATCAATAATCTCAAATTTATGTGAATCTATTTATATCAATCCCAAATGAATCTTACATAAGCGTGCGCCATCTCGTGCTCTTAGCAATGAAAATCAATCCATCAGCACAGACGCTAAAAATGTCCAGCCGTTGATGATGCTCTTGCAAAATGCATCGCGTTAATCCTCGAAAAAGAAAATTAAGGAGAGCTTGGTGGGGCTAGAGTACCTGAATCTGTATTTGCTGGACCTCGGGCACATTGGTCTGTTGCTGTAGTTCCTGCTGCTGCTGCTGCTGTTGTTGCTGCTGCTGCTGCTGTTGCTCGACCTGTTGCTGGGCTTGTTGCTGGGCTTGGGTGTTGTCGGTCGAGCCGAGGGGATCGCTTTCCTTGGCCCGCTTGGCCAGGTGGCTCCTCGCGTGCTTTCTCAAGTGGTCCTTACGGTAAAAGGCCTTGCCACACTCCGTGCACACCTCCGTCTTCTGCCCGCTATGTATCACGAAGTGCAAATTCAGATGCTCTTTCCGCTTGAAACCCTGCGAACAACGACATTGTTGCACGTGAAGTTAGATTTATTATTAAGGCTTTCAAGCGAAAAGGTATGGACATGTAGACATGCCTGCAATAGTGAATTGCGATTGATTATAAATTGTCGGGCTTCAATTTCGTTTTTAATTGTAATTATACGATTGTCGAAACATGCTCTTCCATTATAGTGCAAAATAAAATTTCGATGCTCAAAAAACAAAAAATAAATTTGCACGATTACTGTTTACGTCTCAGGCAGTCTTCCAGCATTTTGTGCATTTATAAGATATCCAAACTAATTGTCAAAACAAAACAAAATTACAGTTCATTCTTACAGTACATATGACGCAAAATTATATTTAAATAGTGGTATTAATTAAAGTTGCATTACAACGACAAAAACATCGAATAATTATCCGCGTGAAAATATCCATCAAATCACGTATAATCGGAAGGACGACGATAAAATGTATTGGATTTATAAGGGCAGGAATGATGTTAAAATTCATTATCGCAATTGATTGAAATTCTCCTTGCGCTCCTATTAATGTCCTAGCCCGTGACAAATGGGCGCGTCTCACCTTCATACAGACGGAGCATATAAAGGGCCGATCAGGATTATGACCAAGCTTATGCCTCTCCAGGTGCTCCTTGCGTTTCAATCCAGCGCCGCATATGTCACAAATAAATCGCCTCTCGATCTTGTGGCCGATCAAGTGCTGCTCGAGCAGTTCTTTCTCCGGGTAGGCCATGTTGCACTGGGGCTTCGTGCCATCCAAGGCCGTGACGATGCTTACCTGGAAAAAGGAAGCAGGGAAAAGCGTGAGTTGTGGCTCGACGAAAATTGCTTAAGCCCACGAATACGTAAGGGCCAACGCGTAAGGGGTATGGCGGACGGATGAAGGGATGGTGGAGGTGGAGAGGTGGAGAGAAGAGAGCTTTTAATGTAAGGAACTCGCGACTTTCCAATGCTCTAATTTATTATCGAAGTCGCTGGATTTGTGAACCGTGCAACGAGTCTTTTCACGACCGGGAATGAGCGAATAATGGCCACTTTGTCTCGGCGTTTTAATGGAACCTCGTTACTCGATTTACTCGGCAAGCGCTAAATTAAAGAGGCTACTGTACGATAATGATTCACGCTATCTCGTATCGAACCGAATTTTAATGCAATGTAATGCCATTTATAATCGAATACATAAATAATTTATCAAGAAGCTGGTGTGATCGGTAAGAATTTCAACCATTGGACTATGAATTATTGTGTTTCAATATTTATCCGTTTGAAACAAGTACTCTATAATCGTACACTCAGTTATTGTTATTACATTGAAGCGCTCGTGCAGTCAAGTATCTCGAACGAATGCCTTTATTTACAAAGTAACTCCAAAAAGTAAAAGTTTCCATAGTCCTGATGTACTTTTTATCAATAAACAGAGAAAAAACCGATCGCCGAATGGTCGACGCAAAGAATATCAAAAATTATGGGGTAAAAAAAAATTAATTCATAGAGAACGTTCCATACAAGCTTTATAATAAAGTTTTTAAAAAACACAGCTGTACCTTAAAACGTCTACTTTTGGAGTTTTCGCCACATTCGACGTAGCTCATCTGTACCATCGCAAGTGTGTGAGTGTATCAAAACAAAGAAAAGAGAAAAAATGTATTGTAAAATTGGTGTTTTCAAAAATAAACACAAATGATAAATGAATATAATGACTGTTATATGTAAAATAATTCGTTTCAAAATTTTAACATTACGATATTATCAAATTCATCGACTCAAATTCTACGTGTAATTAATGCACGAGTTATTCCATAAGACAAACATATCGTTAATAAATTGACAAACATTGGTGTCCTTTTGCAACTTTAACTCCAATATTCAGTAATTTACAAATCATCTTCAAATTCTAATTGTATTTTATTTTAAATACAAATCAGGATTTAAAAATTCTTTTCCACTGCATTCCAATAGTGCAAGGTAAACATTAATCTTTACACAAATTTTAATTGCAATAAATATACTTGAAATATACTTGAATTCTAATATTTAACTGTATTAGAAAATCTAAATAAAATTGCACATTATTACATGGATTATAAAAATTATGATAAAATATATAATGTAACAATTTATCTACATTTCCAATACCTTCTTTTTCATTATATATATTATAATATGTATATATAATATGTATATTTCAAGGTCATTACATTATATTAGCGATTGTCTGAGAGAATAAAACAAAAGCATGTAAATTAATGTTAATGACAATAGTTTAGTGATTAGTTCCTTTCCAAAATACCGATAGAATAGTTTTTCAAAAATTTACTTTTACATTAAATTTTCAAAAAATGTTTGATCGAATGCGCGTTCTACGGAGGAATAGGAAGGACGAGTTACTTGCTCGTATCACTTACATATATATTAGGAGCGTAAAACTCGTTTCGGTTTTCGCTTTTATTAGCGCGCGAAAGTCTATTGTGAGCCTAAGAGCCACTGGCGCCGAATTTTAGACGAGACTCGCGAGATTCCATCGATGCAAAGCCAATGACTGTATGCGTAAGTAATTGAAAAGGTAATGAGTAAGTAAGTGACACCGTCTGAAATTCGGCGCCAGTGCCGACAAACCCGTGCAATGATCAGGGAGGTCTTTGCTCCACCCTGGCACGCATATACTCCTCCTCCTCCTCCACGTCATTCTCCGGACTCATTGACACCTTCTACAAACTACTCCTCGTCTCCCCACCCCCACCCCCACCACCAATCCCTCCACCGATCGTTTGCCGCGATGGCACGGGGCCTGACTCACCTGTCCGGGCTTGGGTTTCTTGGGCTTGGGAGGCTTCTTCTTATACTTCTTCTTGCGCTTGGGCTTGACGCCGGGCTCGCCGCCTGTTTCGTCCACGACGTCTGGTATGATCTCCGTCTCGCCACCGGCCACCGTGATCTGCACTGTTTGACCCTCGGAGCCGGCACTGCCCGAGGCGTCGAGGCCGTCCGCGCCCAGCGGGCTCGACTCGATCATTGCCTCGCGCTTTATCGTCTCCGCCGAGAACTTGAGGAAGTGCTGGAGCGACAGCGGCAGCGTACTCGTCGGCAGCCTGTCGGTCAATCATTTGTGCTTTCAGGGCTAATGGGTAGGTGGATTTGTGTGTGCGTGCGTGAGCGCGCGTAATACATGACTTTCGCCTTTTACCGGGGCAGTGGGCTATCGAGTTAAAGTGCGGGAGGGCCGAGAGTTCGAGATGAGATAACCAAGCTCGCGCTCTGTCATACATATATGAGAAGATGCTGCCGATGCGATTCAAGGTGTCATTGGCACTTTCAATTCTAGATCGCGAGTGAGGCTCGCCGATAGTATCGATCGCGACACTCGGCGGGGAATGAAAGCGCACAGAGGACTGGGGAGAGGGTGGAGGGTGTACCGTTTGGGGATAAATATGGATGTGGACTACTCGCGCACGATGGAGGAGTCGTCGAGGTTACGGCGGGTGTGCAAAATTTACCTGGAGAGGTAGTCGGCGACGGTGGAGCCGGCGGTTATGCTCGGCCAAGTACCCTGCATCGACGCGATGAACTCCTCACCGCTCTGGTTTGCCTGGCTCTTGACGCCCCCGCGCTTTATGAGGGCCACGGGCGTCGTACCAGCCTCCGTCTTTACCTCGGTCTCCTTCGTGTCCTCGATGCTCTCGCGTAGTATAAGGTCGTGAGGGATCTGGGCAACGACCGTCAAGCCTTCCGGCGCCCCCGGCAACTGGACCGTCTGCTGGATCGTCTGCTGAGTGGTGGTGGTCGCGGTCGACGTGCTCTGAGTCGTCTGCTCGGACCTGCGACAATCGACATGAGCAGCCGTATGAGATTGTTATCCTCGCACGCCGCCGAGAGCAGGCCCTCGTCATTATTTTTTTCCTTTTTCCTCTTCTTTTTTTTTTATTGTTTTCGTTTTGGAGCTCTTCTCTGTTAATTAATCGAATTTGGTGGCTCTCGCTTGAAGAGCAATTGCGTTGCGACTCATGCAAAATTCATCTACGCCCATTGGGTTTACGCTATCGGTCGAACGCTAAACTGGTGTTGTACGTGCTTATAAGATAGTCGGTTGCATCCTTTATGAGCGTACCATTTGATAATTTAAAAGGAAAAAAAATCGCGTCGAATAAGGTTCGAATAAGATGGGCTGATGTTTGAAACTTTGAATTCTTAATACGTCGCGTGTCCACTAATTTTTACGCGATTCTTCTCTTTACATTACAACTCTCGATTTTATTATTTTTCTTCTTTCGTCTATATTCTCAGCTAATAATGTCACACACGCGCGCTCAATTTGTTATGCCTTTGTTTTTGGATTTGATGTATAGGTGATCGAGCGCCAGTGTAAATTGATTAAAAAAAAACTGTCGGCTACTTCACTTATTTGAGAAACGAAGGAAAGATTGTTGCTCGATCTCTTTACATTCGGAGAATTTTAAAATTTAATATTGATAGCCAGCATTCGGACATCTGCTATCGAATTCATAATACATGGGATGGATATAAGGTGAATATTTGAAAAACATATGCAAATTACTTGGAGACTACAAGTGCACATGCACAGGCTTACACACATAAATAATTGACAAGGATTTCATTTATAAGTCGATAGGGTTGCTTAAAACTTCGTACGATAATAATAATGTCTTATCATAGAAGTGTAAGTAAAGAAATGGAATTACATGTTTTTGCTAATTGTAACGGATGGTTGAAGCGTTCAATCATACATTTCGAAAATTTGTACAATTTAATGTACAGTAATTTTGAAAAGTATCGATCTGAAAATAGGAAAACACATGATATGAGCATACTGTGATAACTACGAGCTTTCAAGTCTTTTTTATCGTTTATTATCCGACCTATTAAAGCCGCGTTGGATTAATTAATGAATATGATCCAAGTATTTAATGAATCTTTTAAAACAGTTAATTACAAAACGTCATCGAAACTTCGTACTGGAAAATTTAGTTTTTATTTAAATGTAATGATTTCCATAAAGATAAACTGCGTTCCAAATACCCCTACTTTGCCGATAACAAAATTATATTTAAATTTAAAACGCTTCCGAGTCTTTTGTTACGTTTGTAAAAATTGCGCGCTTAAATAATTCATCTGCCAGTGATTACTTTGAATTACTATGAATTAATTCCAAATCGAAAAACTGATAATGCCGCATTCCACTTTCTGTTAGCCCGTCTCATCGATTATGCATCGTACCTTGTAAAACATTCGAATTCGTACGAATAGAAAATAAAAAAAAATTTTTTAACCTACCTCGTAATAAATACTTATTATTATTGTCATTATTAATTATATATTATTAAATGTTTATTCGTGTGTGGTTGATACGGCAAGTCACGTGTCAACGTGGTATATGTACCTAATCTATGCATTGATATTTGTATTCCACACACCGATACTTCTGTGCACAAACTGATCATTAATTTTCTTATAAATGACAACAATATATTATTAGCTTTATGCATTATCCAGGTAGTAACTATTTTACTATAATGATAAGCGCTACCGCATAAAGCCCGCCCCGTTTATTATAATAAGTCTTTTGCAAGTTCGTGGAGCATTTGCATTATTAAAAATTCGACAGATCCATTTTTTGCATTGTGCTTTTCAAGTCGAACAACATTTTTAATGGAAGGTTGTGGAAATGAATTTGGCCGAACGGTTAGCCAGGGCTCGACCATCACGTGAAAGGAAAAATATTTATTGCAAAATCCTCGACGTTATTCATTCGGTATACCATCGGCAAAACACACAATACAAAACTTCGGTGCGTGCCCCGCCACATCAACATTCCAAAGGCCATTGACTATTGTCGTTACTAAAACATTTCGTTTTATTAGGAGGAGCCCGATAAATCCGACAAACCCGATAAACCTTGGCTTTCCTCGATCTCTTATTGCCCCGAGTTTCAAGTAAAATTGTCAGTCGAGCGGGAGTCCCGACTTTCCTCGATAAGCATATATTTATACGAATCTTGTGCAATTTTAAGACATCGATTCGCGTGAACAGGAACTGCCGAAAGCCGCGTCATCTAAAGCCGCGTTCAAATCTCAGCAGTACAACACTTTATTTCAACCAAGAGTCGTGAAGACGTGTACGGAGGGAGATTTGAACACAAAAACAGAAGAAAAAAACAAAAAAACAAAAAACAAAAAAAAACAAAAACAAAAAAAATAAAGAAAAAAAAATGGTATAGGGAGGGAGAGTGAGTGGCTGATTGGTTGGCAGACAAGGGTACTTTCAGCAGAAGTGTAACCAACATCGAGAGGGACGTCCGAACGGGTTTTACCGACGAAATTAGCCCGGTTAGCGCGACTCTCAATGCAAAACGCGACTCACGTTTGTGTAGTAGCGACGGTGTTCTGCGGCTGGACCTGTATCTGCAGTCCGTCGGGACCTTGCTGGCTATAGGCCACGGTAAGGACCGTCGCCGCACCCTGGGGGAATTGGCTGAGCGAGATGGGCGCGAGATGGTACTTGGGTTGCTCGCCGCTGGCGCCGCTCTGCGAGACGCTCGGATTGACGACCTGTATCTGGACCGTCTGCTGCTGCTGCGTACCATCTTTACCCGGCACCGTGATCGGCAAGGTGATTATCTGCTGCTGCTGGCCACCCGGGCTCTGGGCGACGGTGAAGCCATTGGGATCTACCGGCCTCAGGTAATGAACGCCGCCCTCGCCGCCCGAGAGGACGCCTACGACCTGGCCGCCGGTCGTCAGGTTCTGGGCGAATTTGGCCGTGGCGAATTGGTGAACGGTGCCCGTCGGCAGCGAGCCCGTGGTAAATCCCGGGAACGGCGTGAAGTTCATTGTCGCTGGCTGGTGGCTTTGAGCTCTAATCTGGCACACGGCAGCCTTTGACCTTTATCGGCAAGCCTGCAATAAGAAAGGGTAGACGTTACATTAGTTTAGAGGTCTCTCGTCTAGGCTGACTAACATCTCCGGCTCCCACTCCCACCTCTCAACCCTCAATCGCCACAACGTCACAGTCCCATTAATGCGACGTGCTTGTCATTGAAGGAGGATTAGAATGAGAATGAGAGGAGAGTGGGAGATACAAACAGGGAACGAGAGGGACGAGAGAGAGAGAGAGAGAGAGAGAGAGAGAGAACAGAAAGTAGACGATTGCGTATCTCTAGTAGGCGACAATTTGTAAATACTCGCTTACTTAGTAATTATCGACTCAGTGGCTGACGTTACATTTTCAATCGAGAGAAAAAGGGATCCGACAAAGGCTCATCATTCGCATGCTCGAGTGAAATAAATTTATTATTTTGGTAGCATCGTTAAAGTTTTAATGACTTGAAATAACCAATGTAAAACGTTAATTATACTTTACAAATGACAAAACGAAAAAAGAAAAAATATTGTAAACACCGCTTGCAATAAAAGCTATAACTTCGTACGTCATGTAATTAATTGTACGTTTCGGAAACTATATTGATCGTTCACAATGGAAGATATGATTTTGTTTTTTTTTGTTTTTTTTTTGTAAGGTGTCGTAACCACGCTGGCAACCTCATATTGAATTCTTATTTTAATCAAACGTACGATTCGTTCTCGAGCTTCAGACATTATTACGTATTTATCGAAAACTTCTTTAGGATTATCGGGCATTAAATTTCAAGATGCGCTGTATACTAATAATAATAACTAATAATAATAATAATGATAATAATACAATAAAGAAGAAAAAAAAGACATTTGGAGTTTCTAGTTTCGTATGATCGTTATCGAAGTAGTTTGACTGAAAACACAATTTATTCTCGTATAATCGAGCCTTCGAAATACAATATCTGCTGACATATTTCAACGTTACAAGTAGAAACGCACGCAATGGCCAAGTTTCTTTGGCACTACAGCGGAAATAAATAGAATCTGCGATGGGCGACGTGACGTAACCAGCGACTTATAGGCGCCGCTGTTTTCATCATATTTTTCAAACTTTGTTTACTAAAAATTTTGCTCTCAAACTTCGCCAATACTGTTTATTTTTAAGCCTAGAACTTAAATATTTTTTTAATTTTGAGAAACGTAATAATCTACGAGGAACTATTGAAAAAAAAGGAAAGATTTGTCATTGTTTTGTTATTTGCAATTTATACATTTTTTAACGACAGGCCTTTGTAACAGCAGCAACATAATTTACAAAAGGCGAAGAATTTAAAAACTTCTTTTTATCAATACAAAGTTTGAATCGTGACGAATTAATAATAGCCAAGTTTCCTGTAATTTTATTTGAGGTATCGTTCATTTTCTTACTACAGTTCGTTCGTCATTCTATGTTTCCCCAAACGACACTTCCATAATTTTTACAACAAAAATTTGTCACTCCCGATAACCATTATATCTAAGGCCCAATGGCTTTATAATTATAATGCAATTGAATTGACAATTATGTAACTTGACGGGCAAGATGTTTTTTTCGCTTTGTTTTTGCCAAATACGTTGCATTGCGATAAAATTTCTTCTTAAAAGAAATAGGTAAATTGTTGATTGTCGTGCATTCAATTCGCCTAACGTCGTAAAGATAAAGTTGTGGTGTATGATCGGCCATTACGACTAGCATGTGCGTGTCACCGAAGGCTTTCTAAAAGTGCAGAATTCACGATTAAATTTTCCATTCCCAACACATTTAATATTGATCTTGATGTATTACGAGCTCCGTATACTTTGCCTACTTAAATATTTCGAAGAAAACTCCATGATAACCTTCGAAGTCCCTTCGTTAAACCATTTAGTCGCAATTAAATCGTAGCACACGTGACAATGGTCACTCGACAAAAGCGAGAGTAGAGTGAACCTGATAAGCAAAATAATGCCAAAAAAAGAAAAAAAAATTTGTTTAAAAAATAGATTTACGTTTGTCTGGTCAAGAATAAATGGCCAATAAGCGCTGATAATGCCACATTACATAGTACAGCGAATCGTGGGAGTATTCAATTGACCAGATATGCAATTATCACCACTAATCGCATCGACAGTCTCCAGGGGTCAATGCTCGCATTCCGACGGATCTTCCGACTACGCTCGAGAATGTCAAGGTTACGTTCCACACTGTATTCGCACCCATTCCCCGTCTAACGACAACCCCCCACCCCCACCCCCACCCCCGCCTTCCCGACAACAACAACAACAACAACAACAACAACAACACATACACCACCCATTGTTCGTGTGATGAATGACGAGTAGAGTTCCGTAGCAGACCGCCCGTCCGAATTCCAGTCGTCGCACACAGCTCCTCTTGACCACGCCGCCATAAGGCCAACATTACGCAACAGGCGAATACACGATAATCACCGTCGGCAATTCCATCGGCAAATACAGCCTCGATATCACAAAAACCGAGGGGTCGTCGGTACTACACGTGCTTACCAAGGGGCTTCCGATAAGAGGACACCGTTCACCCCTTAACGTAACCCCTACAGTCGTCCACGGCGTGTAAGGGCAAGCTCGAGGGGCTACGAAGTGAGAACGGTCGAGGGGGATGCGACGAGGGATGGATGGTGGTGGTGGGGGGAGGGGGGGGCGATGACGACAGACACCAAGGGTGTGGGAGACCCTGCGACAATGGTAGGGACGGCGCTAGGGAGAGGATGTGTACGTGCGTAACGAGAGAGGGAATCCCCTCGGCAGCGGAAGAATCCCCGACTTCGGCAAGGGGAGGCGTGTCTTTGGTCGAGGCGCCGCGATGACGGGTAGGGCAAGGGGAGGGGTGTGATCGAGAGGGTAAGAGTTATTAATACAGCAAGGGTAATGACGAAATTGAGACTCGGATACTGGTGTGACGCCCATTGATCGACAATCGGCGGAAGCTCCCCTCGGTGATAGCGACGAAGTAGAGATGTTGACAGGAGCGGAACATTTGAGTAAGACACGCGAGCGAAAGTTGTTTCTTTCACGGAAAATTCGTGCATAAAGAATAGAAGTTTACGAGCGCGCGCCGCTTTCTAATCGTTTTCTACGTCGCAGAACCGAGCTTTCACAAACTGAGAGTTACGTGATAGAACCTTTGCTCGGGAAATCCGTTTCGCATTTATTAATTTATAGATCGACATATAAGCTGATGATATGCAAACGAATGCGATGTTAAATTTGGACAGCGTAGGTAGATAGGTAGGTGTATAGGTGTATAGGTGGGTAGGTACATGGGTAGGTAGATAGGTCGGTAGGTTGGTAGGCAACATCTGTATGAGAATGTCGAATAATTAATTGACATTCGCATAGCTAATGTTACTAAATAAGCTGGATTTGCTGATCTCGTTAAAGTTACCGAATGGTATGTAGCTTGAAGGAAGCGTTTATTTGTCACGAGAGAATATACGACGGAAGTTCCGTCGCAAATGTTACATCAACTTGTTACGTATAACGCATAAAAATACGCGTTGAATATTACGGTGAGCTTTTCGCAATCTCCAAGGTACAGAAGCGATTGTCTTAAGCAAACATTAAACAAATCGTGTTAAAATAATACTATT